GTCATAACACGCCTTTGGCTATGGTTTCTTCCAACTCTCATTAACAGAATTCCAGGTCATTTCCTTTAAGGGGTCCATCAGTCCTTGATAAGCTGCTGTTCAGCTGCTGTTTACTCACTCACTCCTTAAAAGTGTTTGCCTGTCTCCAGCTGTCCAGTGCCTGTGAACAGCGACTTAGTTGTAAACCTCCACTTTTATGGCACATCCAGCCTTATCACTTGGAGACTGTTCATCAGATGTTATGGATAAAAATGGTTCATCACGAGCACAAGGCTGGAAGAGCCACCCCAGTGGGGTGCACCAGTGGATTGATGGGTTCATCCTCTGTAGGAGAGGGTACAAAGGCCTAACGAGGCCTTGTGGCAAAAAGAATATGGAATTTCTTAGCTTCGAGTCCCCCCAAAGCAATCCTGAGAAACGGAGTTGAATGCAAGCATTGGGTTGTCAGAAAAGTCATGACTCGTGTTTGCGACAGATGGCACTAGTTCATTTTTGGAAGTATTACAGTCATTCACATCTATGTTATTGCTATGGCATTTGACAGCTGACAGTTCTAGCTTCATTAAAAAAAATTGAGCGATTTGGTTGAGTTTTGGAGATTTTACAACAAGTTGAAGATGGAAGACCAAACTGTGCATTTTTGTCATATTTTACTGTTTTACTTCCATAAAGGAAAGAACGTGCATCAAGCTTGTGAAAAGTTGCATAAAGTTTATGGTGACAATGCTCTACAAGAATGTCAGTGCCAGGCTGGCCGAGTGGAGCGTTGGTTAAGAGCTGACTTGGGACACCAGCTCTGACCAGCAGGGCTCCGGATCGGATCCCACATGAGGGCCAGTGACACTGTCCTCTACAACTAAGATGGTGAACAACAGCTCGACCTGGAGCTGAGCTGCCTGAGTCGCCGGTGATGGCATAGGCTGCAGCCCCTGCTGCAGTGGGCTGCCATAAGCTACCGTGAGCAGCCAGCAGCTGGCGTGAGCTGCCAAGAGCCACCATGGGCAGCCGTCCAGAGGCCGGCGACCGATCTGTCTCAGCCAGGAAGAGCACAATGATAATACCAACATGGGCCAGTGAAGCAACGTCCTCCACAACTAGACTGATGAACAAAAGGACAGCAATGTGTCTGCGCCCCTCCCCGATTCCCCAACGCTGTTCCCCTCCCCCAATTCCCCAATAAAATCTAAAAAAAAAAAAAAAAAATGGAATGTCAGTGCCAACGATGGTTCACGAAATTCAAGGCTGGTGATTTTGATCTCAACAACGCTCCTCGATTAGTAAGGCCCACTGAGGTTGATGACAAAGTAAAGGCATTAATCGAGTCAAACCCATGTTACATGACACGAGAGATTGCAAAAACATTGAACATCCATCATGCAAGTGTTCACGACCACTTGAAGAAGCTGGGATATGTAAACAAGCTCAATATTAGGGTTCCGCATGAACTCAAAGAAGTTCATTTGATGGCGTGTATAAATATCTGCAATATGCTCATTAAATGTGAGGAAAACGATCCTTTTTTGAAGTGACTGATAATTGGTGATGAGAAGTGGGTTGTTTACAACAATGTGTTGTGCAAACAGTCTTGGTCCCGACATGATGATTCGCCTTAAATGACATTGAAAGCAGATATTCATCAGAGGAAGGTTATGCTCTCTGTGGTGGGATTTTAAAGGTGTCGTATTTTTCGAGCTCCTACCAAGGAACCATACAATCAATTCGAATGTGTACTGTAGGCAATTGGACAGTTTGAATGAATCCATCATCCAGAAATGTCCAGAGCTTGTTAACTGTAAAGGAGTTGTGTTCCATCACGACAATGCGAGACCACACACAAGTTTGATCACCCATCGAAAATGATCTGGAGCTTGGATGGGATGTGTTGCCACACCCACCATACTCACCTGACCTTGCGCCGTCAGACTTCCTCTTGTTTCGCTCTCTTCAAAACTCCCTGTGTGGTATAACATTCAATTCAGATGAGGCTGTAAATCAGTACCTTGTTCAGTTTTTCGCAAATAAAGACAGGTCCTTCTATGAACGAGGAATTATGAAGCTCACTGAAAGATGGCAAAAGCTTATCAAACAAAACGGGCAATATGTCATTGATTGATCTTTGTTCTTTATATAAATAAATGATCTTTGAAAAACAGACAAAATACATTATGACTTTTCCGACAACCCAATATAGTTCATTTGGTTGATGATTCCAAGAAACACAGGTAGGAGAACTGAGAACAGGGAAGGGGGAAAAGCTAATACAAGGTGTTTTAATAAGTCAACTACCACAGTGGGCAGGCAAAGCTTAATTCCTGTGGGAAATCTCTCAAAAACAGTATGAAACACATGCCTCAGAATTACCCCGCCCAAGGAGCAAGGGAGCAAGTATATTTACACACCAATTCTGTCCATCACTTGTTAAAAACTGCTTCTGGGGAGTGCTGATTCCATGGCATGTCTGGCTTGCTGTGTCCAGAAAAAGTCCTTAGGCACAGAGGGGCAGATATCAGCTTTTCAAAGTTGTCTGGGGTCCTCTGGAACAAAAGACCCACAGGTAATGAAAATGGTCTATTCTAAGATGCCTGCCAAGCTGGCTCTCATTGGCAAAGACCTTCCACAGTGCTCATTGTATGGCCCTGTGGCCTGAGAAAATGGATGCTGTCCTGTACTTTCAGGACTGTGAGAAATTTCCACAAAAGTTTGAGGATAAAATATATATATTCAACAGCATTAATGGAATCAGCATTGTGTGGGGAAGCAGTAAATGAGGTATTATATATCCCTATAGGTCTGGACATCTTTCCATGATATTATTAAGTGAAAACTGCAGGTTATGTAACCCCATCTGGGGAGAGAGGTATATAACCCCATTTCTATGTTAAAAACACATAGAAAATTTATGCATAAAGAGTCTATAAGAGTATAAGCTAAAGTGTTATCAATTGCTGCCTTTAGGGAAGGTTATGAGTTCATTTTTGTCTTGCTTTTCCTTATCTATTTTCTGACTTTTTATAAGCATTGGTTCACTTTTATAATAATGACCAGATTAAAAAAAAAGATTGCACAATAATTAAGTACAGTCTCAATGTTCAAGAATAATTCTAGATTTTTCTAAATCTTCCGTTCTTTATTCCCTCTGTTCCTCCCTCACACCCTCCAAACAATGCTTCAAAACAGAGTAAACTTGCTTATCTGCAGGGATCTGGTATGCAACATCACTACTCTTGAACACAGGAGAAAATGAGGAATTAGGCACAAAGGGCTTTTGAGTAGCCAAAGATATGTCCCCACATCCACGAGTTAAAACTCATCCATTTTGCTCAATGAAAAGCACTTAAGACTAGCATTGAGGACTTGTTTCTATGTATTATACTTTGTACACAATTCTAACAGACATTGATATCTAAGTTCAAGTTCACATTTAAAAGTGGCAGTCAAAGATGAGAAAGTGTCTGTCATAGGCAGACACACAAGAGGCAGGGGAAAATGGCAGAGCTGACAAGAGAGAAGGACAAAGACTAGACAAGGCTGCCATAAGTGTCGTCAGTCAGCACAGGCTCTCCAGGTTCCTGAAGGCAGAGCAACATGCCCTCCACCTCCTCACCAAGACTGGAAGATACCCGTTTCCGAAACAGAGCAGGATCACAGTGACAGCCCAGACCAGGCTTAATTATACTCAGGAGAACCAAACATACAATGTTCAGACCTACAAAGAAATAGAATATACAGCAAGATCATCCACATTAAAAGTGGGCACCTTAAAATATAGCTTCAGAATCTTGGTAATATAAGCCAGACTGGGAAATGGGGCTATTTTCTTGTTTCTACCTTTTCTTCTTTTGTGTGAAATGAAGTTGATTTTATATCTGTCAATATCCTCTGGATACAGTGTCTGTTCTTTAACATTTGATCTTATAATAAAGGAACTTATACTACCCATTACATTTTTGCCACCATGATTCTATTACTTTTTTTCCCCTCCTGATTTCATTCCTTAAATAAAATAAATTTTTAAAAAAATTAGAAATTGGAGAATAAAGTCTTAACAAACTGTTCTTGGAGGAGTTGTGCTTTTATACTGACCAATTTTTAAACTCTTCTTAAAAGGGGTTTTTAACAAGTCCAAACTTTTAAATATGAATGGAATAAAGTCAAAAGGAGATGAAAGACATGGCATTCCTGGTGAAACAGGTCAGATGATTTTCAGACTCCAAAGTGTCCTGATAGTTTTACGTGATCCAGTCCAGTTCCTGAAAAAAACCCTGCCAACAGGTAACAGGTCTTTTGAAAGCTTTTGAAGCCAAAGGCTCCCCACCAGCCAGCCCATCTCTCACTAAGTTCTCAGCCTCATTAAGAATGAGAAACAGATACCACGGCACCAACCTGTCTAGAGAACATAGCGAGACAAATGTAATTGCCTGTAGGAGGAATATAAGTCAGCAACTCCCAAATCATTCATATTTACACCCACTCCATTTTGGTTGTCTTTCCTTTATAATTTGGCCATACATTGATGTCAAGTATATAATTTCATCTGGGGCTTTATCAGTTACCGCCCAGAGCCATGATTATATGGTGCAGGGAGCTTCCGCCCCCTGAGCAACTCTATCTTTAGTATCTTCTCTATAGCCACTTACATAGAAAATCAAAAGGAAAGTCTTGGTTTTCTTATGTGGCCCCAGAATCACTAAATATAACATTTAGAAGCAATTTATCAACTATAACCATTGAGTTTTCAGCTGCCACTACAATTTTTCAAAGCAAACTCTTCTTATTCCTTCCCTTTGTTATTTTTATCAAATTGCAACAGATATTTTAGGGGTTTCTATATTGATCATTCAATCATGTAGTAAGTTCAGTTTCCACCTTGCTAGTGTCCAACTTAATGCACAAAGATAAGACTGGGTTTTGAACAATCAGAATCATAGCAAGAAGGCTAAAGGTATGATTTCTGGCAGAAGTAACTTTTTACAAACCAAATAAAAAATGGCTCTCCAATCTAGGATTCAAAAGATAATTTATTAGTCTGTGAAGAGGTGTCACACACTGTATACCCAGTAATATGCTTCTTTTATTTTTGTGCCTTTACCTTAAAAATATATTTAAACAAGAAACAAAGATAATATTGAATTTTCCCATAAATTCTGCTTTCTTATTTACAGTTACATTGTAAATAACATTCCACTATACACAAATTAAGGACTGTGCATTACTGTATGTTCTCTTTACATAGTCTTTCATAATATAGTACATACAGCTCGAAGCTATGCAGTATTTAAGCTTAGAAAGGCTTGAGGGAAGAAGTACAAACTTTATCAATAAGACTATTATTTAAAAAGGTTCCGACCTTAATTCTCTGCTAGATTGTTTCACTGAAACCATTCTTTGTTAAAGAAAAATGCCCCATATGAGGGATGAGAATAACAGTTTAAGTTACCACAAGATCCACTTAAACTGGTTAACAAATAAAAACACTTTATTACTTATTACTGGAGCACTACCACTGTCAAATCATTTAAAGAAGTAGATTTATTCTTCAGTTCAGACACATTACATCACGACAGTAGTACCTCTTTATGAAATAAAAAATGTTTCCTGCAACTTTAGGTTTTACTTGTAAACAGTTAAAGCACACATTTTGTGAAGATGATTTAATCATTCCTGCTCTTAGGTTACACAATAAGGAGTTTCTACTTCATCAAGGGAGAAGCAAGCACTCGTGCTGTGCGCACATACGTGCACACACATGCGCACTCTCTCTCTCTGTTTCTCTCCCTCTCCCTCTCTCTCCAGTGCTGCTCACCTGCCAAAGGCCCATCATTAAGCACTAATTACAGCAGCACTAGTGTCACGAGCAGTGCATGAGGCTTTAATTGGAATTATAAAATGAAGATGATAAAACATCAAACTTCAGTTAAAAACCCCAAATCAAAAAGCTCAGGTTCTGAAATGACCATCGGGCGCTTCATGCTCAGCCTGACGGTTCAGTTCACTGGGCTCTCCAGGCGGCAAACCCCACCTTCAATGGCCACGGACTGTCCTGCCACTGCACCGGGAGGAAGTCTGGAAATGTGAGTCTGCAGAGAGGGAAACAGGAGAACGTTAGAAGTGCCAGCTGTGCCCCCCCCACCTCCGACGTGTGATAAAGGGGGAGGAAATACCAGAGCAACACAAGCATCTACTGGCCTGGTGGGAACCTTTAGGCTCTGAGAGACCCTGTTTGTTCATCTCCCAGGGAATGTTTACTGAGCATCTCTGCACGCTAAGCACAGCATCAGCAACTGGACACACAGAGTGACCAAGATGGCCAAGGCCCCTGACAGTACAGAACTTACAATTTAGTCACATTCAGAATAGTGGTGGTTTTAATGCCAACTATATTGAGTACATTCCGGTTCTTTGAAAACTAATAATTTATGAACACTTTGTCCTCTGAACATTCAAAGCAACTGAGAATACCTGGTTCATGTTTAAACCTCTAATACATTCCTTAAAGGTTTTGAATAGCTTACGAAAATTCATATAATTCAACAACCTAAAGTAAATGAGGCAATGAGAAAAAAGAAAAATAAGAGGTTACAAAATAAGGTAACGACAGGCATGAGGTTAGCACTCAAAATCTAGCCCGAGTTTTGTGTCTGTGAGAGAGGCAGACGGCCACCCTGTCTCTCAGCTTCCTAGTGGCCATGGCCAGACAGGTGGTTCACAGCGTCCACAGGATCACAGCTGCTCAGAGAACAACTGTTCCTAGACCGAGGCCAAGGAGCCATTTCTTCTGTCGGGCTTCAGATACAGTAGGTACCATGTGTAGCGGATAAGTAAAGACATCATTTGTACAACAAGGAGCTTTATAGGGCTGAGTGTTTCGACATTACTCAAAGGAGACTGGCCCTCAGTGGAAGACAGTAAAAACCGTTCCACAAGGGGTCAGGATGACGTCAGCCAGGAATTCCTTTTTTGATGGTCCTGCTTAATCCAGGGATAGATAAATGTCGGCAGTTTCTAAGAAAAACAGAGGGATTGTATATCCTTTAGGTAATCTTCTCTAATTCTGTTTTTCTAAACAAGCTCTTCTAGAGGACTGAACTGAGGTGAGTTCAAACCCGGGTGACGTCGTTAGACACAGCTGGTGAGATGGCCAAGCCTAGGGAGGGACTGATGTCCTCTCATGCAACCAGATATGAAGCAAGCATAAATTCTGGATGGATTTTAACAGGTAAGATAGTTGGTTTGTAGTTGAGGGTGGACACTATTCTTGAGTCTCACGGTACAAGTCCTATTAGAGTAGTTGACATAAATCAACCATTTGGAAAGCTCTGGAGAACAGGAAATGTTCTCTGGGTACTTAGTTTTTCTGTGTACAAGGCAGGAAGCAACCTGTAACCTACAGGGGTGAGACCATTGATTTTGGGGTGGAGAGTTGGATGAGGCAGTCTCTGCAGTGTCTCCTGGGGTTTGCGTGTCAGTGGGTTCACTCACAGGCTTGGGCCTCTGGGAACTGTGTTACAGAGTCTGCCTCATTATCGCATCTGAGGGACAAATTTGAGCCTCACTGTTTGGATATATTATACCTGAGAAGTCCACAGAAAGGCAGACTTGTGGGCCTTCTGTTTCTTGTGATGCCTCATTAACCTTGTGGGAGGAGTTACAGGAGGGCATGTCTGATTCTGCTGCCCTGCAGCCCATGTCACGTGAGGTACAAAAAGCTCAAATCTCACAATTCCCAGGGCTCAGTATTGATGAGGACTCTTTTATTCAACGCGAGGGGAAAAAATAATTTTATTTTGTTTTGTTTTTGTTTTTTCTTCATTTCAATAAAATGTTTACTAATATTCATTGGATATCTTCAGAGAGGCAAACTGCAACTTTTTTCAATATACCAAGCTTTAAAGGAAAATAGCACATTTTATTTATTCACTTATCAGTTAACAAACATTTAGGTTATTTCCAACTTGGGCTACTCTATTATTATTATTATTTATTTATTTATTTATTTATTTATTTATTTATTTATTATTAGTTTTAGGTGTACAAAACAATGCAAGAGTTATACTATTCACCCCTCACAAAGTGACCACCCTCCTCCCCCAATCAACCGCCCCCTCCCCCAGTATCATGCATATTTATCACAATTCCATTGACTCCATTCCCACATTACACTCCACATCCCATGACTATATATGTATTAAATTATAGTTGACATATAACATTATTCAATGGCAGCTTCAGATGTACAGTGCAGTGGTCAGGCCTCTACACTGTCCATGAAGTGGTCTCCCTAACAAGACATGAGTCCATCTGACACCCTAAAAAATATTTTCAACGTTATTGATTATACTCCCCAAACTGTCTTTCATATCTCTGTGGCAATATTGTAGTTACCAATTTGTGTTGTCTCGTCCCTGGGGAAAGATAATTTTTTACTTAGGTGTCACTCATCAATTTTTCTAAAGGTTCTAAACAAAAAAGATCCCTGAGAGAATAGAAGCCCCTCAGACAATTTCAACCCTAATCTCACTCTATTCGGTCATGAACACAGGCATGCAGCTACCACAGAGATAGAGAATAAAGCAGAACCACTATGGAAAATAGTATAGCGGTTCCTCGAAAAATTAAAATTAGAAATATCACATGATCCAACACTTCCACTTCTAGGTATATAACCAAAAGTGAAAGCAGGGACACAAAGAGATATTTGTACACCAACGTTCATAGTAGCATTATTCACAACAGCCAAAAGGTGGAAGCAACCCAAATGTCCATCAAGATATGAAGAGATAAACAAAATGTGGTATATACTTACAATGGAATATTATCCAGCTTGATAATGGAATGACAACCTGACACATGCCACAACATGCATAAACTTTGAAGACATTATGCTAACTGAAAAAAGTGACAAAAAGGACAAATATAGTAGGATTCCATTTATATGAGGTAGCTAGCAGTCAAATTCATAAATACAGACAGTAGAATGCCAGTGGCTGTGAGGAGGTGAGGCGGGGGAGTCACTGTCTGATGGGTACAGGGTTTCAGCTGGAGAAGAGGAAAAAGTTCTGCAGACGGACGGCGGCACAACAATGTGAATGTACCGAATGCCACTGAACTATACACTAAGAAACGGTTAAAATGGTAACATTTATGTCTTGTATATTTTACCACAATTAAAAAAAAAAAAAAGGAATACAGGGGAAATGACACTTTCCTACCGGGTCCAGAATAGCTCTCCATAAGATGGCAATAAGTGAAGCGGTTAGCTAGGAATGAATCCACCATCAGAATCCCACTGGAGAAACATTAACACTACCAGGTTCTGTTCACAAATAAGTTGGAACTTTTCAACCAGGTTAGTTAAAATATCTGTCCCTAAAAGAGAAGCTCACAGGAAAATCCATCCTCATGTTTCCCAAAGATTCAGGGAGAATCCAATGGGGCCTCCTGACAGGCCTGGTATCCCAGGCACCAGAGGCAACAGAGAATAAATTGTTAAAAGATCAAAGAGTGACCATATGTCCAAGCAGATGGCCTGCAACTTGACCAGGGGGGTGTCAGTCTGAAAGCAACTGATTTCCTGCTGCCCATGGAAAAGACCCAGAACTAGAAGGAAGCAATTCCTGTCTCACGAACCAGGGGACTTGATAGCAATCCCCTGAGATTTACAAAAACACAGATGGCCAATCCAAACTTATCTCTAACACTACCACTCCAATTAAGTTTACAATAAAAGAACATCTAAATAAACTGAGCTAAATCACAAAATGTCAAGGAGAGTTAGGAAGAAAAAGAAAAAAGGATTGAAAATGATGACAGTTGTCTTGAGATATTAACAGTATGTAGGCAAAATACTTCAAAATACACTGAGATTTGTATAAATTGAGCTGTTTACATAAGACAGAAATGTTCAACTAGACAAACTAGTAGTTATATTAACTTCTCAGGATTTTTCTTCCCTAAATCAGCATTTAGACAATGGGGATTTTGTGATTACAAAACACACTGACATGATCACGGTGTTGAGAGGAGTAAAATGGTTAACCATCCAAATGTCAATATTTTACCAGTTTCATCCATCAACATGATCTTCTGACTCATAAAAGAATAAGTGACCTTGGTCTGAAAAAGTCTGAGCCAAGATGTATTTGAAGCTTTCTGTGGAAATTTCAATGGAGCATAAAAAAAAAAAAAAAAAAGCTGTTTAAGAGAATGTTTTATATGAGTGTGTGTCTCTATTCTTTTAAAGAAGTAGGTTTGAATTCCTCTAGAGGCTAAAAATAGACCACTTTCTACAATGAACTTGTATGTCAGCATTTAAAAGTACAATAAAATATTTTATATTGTTCAAGGCCTGTGCAGACTCTTGGGCATCCTACCTGCATAAGGACTTAACAAGGTGTCTTTAAAACCATTTAAATAGCAATGCACTTTTATTGGAATTCAGAACTAATGAGAAATAACACACAGAAATGATAGATGAAAAAGTAGTATATTGATCCATTTTGGTTATCTCTCTCCATTCCTTGCTACACACCCCACTCATACACCGCTCTAACCACGATTTCATGTCTCTAATATCTTTTTCTGGTTCTTTCTCAAGGAAATATTCCTTGACTGGATCCCACACTCAGTCTAGAAGCATTCATACTAGCTCCTAGAGCACCCATCTGAGCATTTCTTGTCCTGTGATATAACTGTCTTGAGTTGTTGTTTTTTTTAGGTCTCTGTAGTTGAAAGTCAATTGGAGACAGGAGCTTGCCTTACACACACCTCTATATTCCCTGAACCTGTCACAGTGCTTGACACAGAAGGTATTCTCTAGAAATGCTCAAATAGTGGATGAGTGACTAAAATAAACCTTCCAAGAAATAAACAAAGAATCGCAAATATTTTAGCTAGTGTGACCAGTTTGGTTAAAAAGTCAATCAAACTAGTTTGCAATAGTAAAGATTTTTAAAAAATAGAATTTCTAAAAGTACAGACTGACTAATTTTTCCCCTTTCCAAGTGACTGTGTTGTTAGAATGGAAAAGGAACTTTAGATTTCTAGACGCTAACAGCTCCACACCAGTGGAACCCAATGG